AACGGGCCGAAGACATGACATCAGTCCTTTGATGGATTTGATTCTTGGCTCTAGTACCACCTGTCACTATATAGTAAGTGGCTGAGAGGGATTTCGGAGAATGTCATACGGAGCGCATAAGCAGCCACATTTCAGTCTAGTCCATTATAGTAATAGAGAGCAGGGCTTATCAGAAACTGCTTAACTTTACTGTCAAGGTTGTCACAACGTGAGCTGGTACTTAATCTCATTCTAAGAGAATCACATTATTAAATAATGTAGGAGAGAAGACACTCTTGGTACATTAAATACTATATTAAAAGCAATGTACTGAAAGCATAATCAGCAAGAGAAACATGCAGCAGGCATAATTAGACTCTCATTCTTACTAGCCGAAAATTCTCTCCTTGCTGATTAAACCCCCGTTTTTCTCTTCAACATTCGCAATCTCTTATTTCTGCTGAATTCATATGACTCAAGGCAGCACAAATATGCTCGCTGAATAGAGTCAGCTACTATTTCAGGTGTGATTACTGTACATAACAGGCTGCGACTCGTGATGAGGGACCTCCACATTCTTACTTCCTTGCTTACAGCTTAACATGTCGCTAATACGGCAGCCATGTAATTTCTGTCATTGGCTGGTGAAATACACCATCGTACAGTATCATTCAGAGGGCGCGCCAGGCGCGCCGTAGCAGCTCCTCTATCTTTGGAACCGACACGTAGAAATGACGTTAATGGCTTTATGTCTAGAACAGCAGCAGACACGAGTGTGGCTTAATAATTACCATAGAAATCCTACTAACTTATTAAAAAGGTCAGAAGACCGGAATTAGGCTTGAAAACCCTGGCCACACAATATAAGAAATTGTAATGTGAAAATTTCTCACAGCTATGTAAGGAAAGCCTCGAAACAACAGCGAGAAATATCAGCTAACATACAGCAGAATCATCTACTGATGGCACAGTTCGGATGGGGGTTCGATCCTATCGTACACCCAGCTTGGTGTATCTATGAGGCAAAGGAGCTGCTGAAAGGAGATGAAAATACCAGATGCCAAGATCACAACCAGATACTTCCCCCAAGCATGCACTCATCGCAGCCACAAGATACTTTCTATGCCCCTAAAAAAGGACTACGATTGACCGAGGAATCTGTCTGCAGCTCCTGTCTAGAATGTGACCGAGAGCAAGAGCAATTCTGGGGTTTTGACGGCGCAGTAGAAGCGCTCATTCACCGTACAGACTGAAAACCTCGGCCGTGTCCTTCACAACTGCCATGCCTACCTCGGATCCCTTCGGGCCGGTTTCGCTGGGAAACCGATCCTGCTATTTTCGGGTCAAAGCCGGACGGCTCGACCCCTCATCAAAGGGGCCCATCAGAACCGATTACACAGCCTAGCCAAAGCCAAGGTTTTATGCCAAGTGAAGCGTATTGGTTGACTACTGCTGCAGCTTTGCCTACGATCTTCTTTATAGCTTGTTGTGGAAGACTTGCTCTATCCCTAACTTTACGTAGGGAAGTGGATTTTCGTTTGAAGACATACGGCGTCCTGTGTGCATAAATACGCTGTGCATTAACACATTATGCCCGTACACCTAGTATTAAGCTGTCGGGTGGGATAGCTAAGTACTCTCGGCGGTTCATTTCACAATCTGTGCCATCGCGAGGTGTTACATGGCTCCCTACACTGTATGGATCCCCGTACATGCCTCAATAATGCGACTGTATCCAACTAATGATCATATTCAATGGTGGATCCTCGTCAACGCAGTATCCGCTCCTTATGTCGGCAGCACGCAGGTTGGATGCTACCACACGGTCGGAAACATTGTGGATCTCCTTAATATAACGTGGCTTAGCAAATGTAAATAGGGTCTAACAGAAGGCCGAGAACAAAGTAACCTACTTCGTAAAATAACACATCCACGTCTTGCAACCGGTTATCAAGATCCTTGGCCGCGGAATGCCTTAGCACGTAGCTACGGTTGAGCAACCAGCGTTTAGCGGCCGCTATGCTGAGATAGACCTTGTGTGCTTGGTGGCGACGGGCGCTTGCATCTAGTATTATCCTGCTAGACCATGATAAATTGTAAGCCGGCATCGTAGAGTCGCATGTCATATATCTTACTGTTTGAGCTGTGCTGTGTAATCGAAGTCACAGGAATTCAACGTCATGTCTAGATCAAAACTTGCCGACAATAAGCGTTGGGCAACTGTATAACCCTCTATAAACACCGTATGAACTGAACAATTTACATCCCGTAGCGACATGCCCGTAACATGGACCATAATATGGTTCAGCAAAGATCGGTAGTCATTGATGAGCTCAGCAACCCTCAGGGCTAAGACATGATCGAGAAAGCGGTTTCCATGATTTACTGGTATCTGCTAATGCGAAATAAGTACCTCGTAGTAACAAGCCTCAATGCATGATGACAGGGAGATGAGCAGGATTAACTCACTTCGCTCGGAACAGAAGCCGAGCATCCCTTCCGTGTATTAGTTTGGTTGCTTCCCGAAGGAGATATGGGTACTAAAGAATTATTGTGGTGTTCAATTTGGCAAAAATCATTTGGAGCTGGGTTGAGGAGGTTTGCGATCTTCATTTTATCCATGCCAGTCAAAATATTCTCCTAGCATGTCCCATTCGCAGGTTGTGTCAAATTTACGACACTGCGTTTCAATCACAGCATACGTGGGTTCTACCGTTCCAACGGATTCGGCAAAGATCTACATACGATATTATCACGTGATACATAGACATCGAGAAGCCATGGATGCTTGTCTATCGGATCCTCTATTTAATGATGAGTGAGGGAGGCTTCTAAGCCACAGGGGATGGCGTCACATATCAACATTTGCAACCGGAGCTACAGTGGTTGGCTGCTCGCGACCTCACGGAAAGCACTTACGTAGTAGAGGTGCGGTCTCTCCTAAATCGAGGACCCGAAGAGCCGAGCGGTCCTGACCCACCCCTTCAGATACTCAACTCCATCTTGTGGAACGAGATGCGCCGGATCGGCTCAAAAGCGAAGATAGAAGAATTCCAACTGAGATGGGGGCGAATCCACGCGGGCTTTCGGAACTGCACTCCCAGGCAAGCACACGAGACTCCTATATGATGGCCTAGATCGACACGAGGCATCTATTTTGGCGCAGCTGAGAACAGGCCACGCGGATTTGCGAAGTTTTCTGTTTACAATGCAGCAATCGGGTAGCAGGACACCTGTGCGTGTGGCAAGGAAACTGAGTATGGAGTCAATACGGCACTTTATCTTTCGACGTTGAAGGTGAGATCATCTTCGCCACGACACGAATTGAAGCGATGGGCGACAGGTCTGGCGATTTGTCGTTTGCGCTAGGAGGCAGATCGGGCCAGGTCCGCACCGACGGGTAACCGTTCTCGATAGCGACCCATCTCGGCGGAAAACTAACCTAGAAGTAGTACGGGCTGTGTTAAATTTGCGCGAAACACAGGCAGGTTAAGGAGCGAGACCCCAGGGGTACGGATACAAAGATTTGACAAAACCAAGAATATATTAATGATTGACGCAAGGCAGGACAGTAGAGATGTAGGACATAACCATCAACGGTAGATAGAGAAGCAAGCCAGTAGCTGGGGGCTCCATGCAGCCTATTGCCGCAATAGCCTGAGGCTATATGATGATAGTAAGAAGAAGAATAGAAGTATCGGATCCTGTTACTTATTTGTGTGATGGCCTGAGATTGTAGCTAGTATAAATCAACCTATAGTCCCTCCCATATGTGAGCCAGGGTAGCGTGCCCTACGTTATCCTAAGATCGTACGATATATACAGAAGCGGTTTTGTTAATCACACTATCGAACCACCGAACTCTTCGTTTCTCTCTTTTCCAGGCCTGACATCCGCGCTAGCCGTCTTCACCGTTGGTGGATGCACCACCCGCCTTGACAAGTTCTATTTTCAGGCTTTTTATTGGAACCGTCGACCGACCCGCGGCTTAGGAGGGATCCTCGTCTATGTAATACCTCCATAAAAGGGGAGATAACCGTTTCATCACCATCCTGTCCCTCTTCTCTGGTTTGCTCTTCTAGAACCTGGTCCTGCTTGCCCTGACCATCCCCACCCTTCGACTACTGCTCCTTCGTTGAATACCGGCCTTCAAGGCACATTTGTTGGCATTCTGCTTCTGGCCTTCGGAAGTTGGTCTCTGGCCCCCATTATGCCGACGGCACATCTCATCCAACTTCCCTCTTGCAACATGATCTCGCGCTCGCGCTTCTTGGTTTTGGAATTTGGACATGGGTGTTTAATCGGCCCCAGCTGGAGTTTAAGATGAAGGCTCGGCCTGCTGCTGCTTCAAAGCAACTTCTAGGGATGGTCTTTGACCCTGAAAAGCCACAACCAGTGTGTCTGATGAAAAGGAGGCAATTCCTTTTTGTATGATATATCTTGGGACACGGAAGCAAGTGATCACACATTAGATCACACGCTGATACAAATTCGACACAATTCGAGGGGCCAGCTGGAGCTTTTGATGGAACTGAATAACAGGGGTCAGGACAACCGTCCACGATGCTCTGACAGGATGCTTGAACAGTCTTTGTTTGCTATCTTTCCTGCTTCAATGCTCCTTTGAAGTTTTAAAATTCTGCTCTCGCTCATACAGGACAAAGAAATAACGGGTCTTTTCTCTACAACAATGACTCTTTTATGGTCCAACTTCGGTTCGGCTACTGCGCAATTCCCTCCGTCATAGTCTAACAGTAGGCGCTTGTAAATAGACCTCGCCGAAGTCTGCCCATGTCCATGAATACCCGCCAATAAGCCATGGGCAGGTTAAGATGGTAAAAACCAAACCCAGCTCGCCCGCGGGTTTTGTCGAAGTCTAGTGGCACTGGCACTCCAACTCGAATCGTGTGGTTGATCATCTGTAGATATGTAGTCTTAAGGAGGGGTGGATAAAGATACTGAATTGAGTGTTGTAACGATACTAGCGCGGGCGTACTCACTTATACCCCTAGTAACGACTAAGCATAACCGGGTCGATTAGCGTTATTAAATTGTGTAACACCACAGATAATTACTGATCCGGTGGCACGAGCGGAAGTTGCCCATGCCGTGAGCGTCATGATGCCCTAGACTTACAAAGCAGTATGGTTGAACCCAGGAATGGGCCATGCACAAACTCATACTTGCCAGGATAGAAGCCAGGGATAATTCTTCAGCGGGTATCTCTCCATTAGAAAGCGAACCAAGTAATACAGGACAGGGATGCTCGGCTTCCATCTGAGCAATGTGAGATTGATGTACACATCACTCTTTACTCAGTCAACAAGGCTCAATGCTGATAGGTACTTATATTCTACCAGTACTTGAGAGGGAATTGTAGGAACTGGGTTTTCGATTACGTCCTTGCCCCGAGGGCTGTTGAACTGATAAATGACTGCCGCTCTTTACGGATCAATATCATTGACTATGTCAAAAGCATGCCGCTACAAAGA